CAAGATCTCAGTGATTTAGTGGTCACCAAAACAGGAGGGAGCAGCTCAGGGCTTTAAAGAGCAACTTTCTCATTTCATGTCAGGGAAGGAGTGCTTATAGCTATTTTCCAGATATCTATAAATATACTTATTTATATGTATTTACATGTAAATATATATAAAATCACATTCTGAGGTTTAGATATGATGAAGTTCTGGTAGTGTAATAGTTAAGCAGTTGACTGTTAATATTAATCATAAAGTTAGTAGTTTAAATCTACCATCTTCAGGAGAGAAAAGACCTGATAATCTATCTACTTTAAAGAGTAAAAATACAACAACCACTAAAGGAAGAAATCAAACCTATTGCTGTTGAGTCCATCTAATTCACAGTGACACTACAGGGTTTCCAAGACTTTAAGGAAACAGACCACATCTTCCCACTGAGGAGCAGGATTGGATTTATAATAGACCATTGAATTAGCAGCCAAGCTCTTTACCATCACACCATCAAGGCTTCTCCTCTGGCAAAGATTACAACCTGGAAAAGCCTGTAAGGCAGCCCTGCTGTTTCATATATATATAGGGTCTCTGTGAGTCAGAACTGTCTTGCTAACACACAGCAACAAAACAAACATACACATGAAACATAAGCTTTTATGTGTAACCTAAGTTTCTACTTTTAAGCTTTTTTTGGTCACCTATCTCATTGTCACTATGTTCTCTCTTGGTTTTGCCTAATCAGGCAAAATTACATTAATACTACTTTCTTAATACTGCAAGTTAGTCTCAGTGAAAACCTAATAAACTAGAATTCTGTGTGTAATAAAGTCATTTCCAAGACTGTTACTAAGAATTTTCTGGGCTCACTTATTAAGGCAAGTCTGAAGACTTGTCACTCGCTCTTTTGTCTCTTTGTCCTAAGGTACTGTCTGAATATATGAGGAACAAATAATACAGTGTTTTGAAACAAGAACATGAAAGATATCAAAGTTTAAGAATAGAAGCCAGCAGCTGAAAACTGTTCTCATTAGAAAAGTCTTTTCTTTCTTTTAGCATATTTTCCAGACAGTAGGGCTTAATGATAAAGAGCAAGGCTGTACAGCCAGACTGCCTGGGTTTCGATTCTGGCTCCAGCACTTCTCTAGTTAATGGACTATAGTGTGCCTTTTGTTCCCTTATCTCTAAAGGGATGGTAAAAATAGTTTCTACCTCACTGGGGTTTTGTGAAGACTAAGTGAATTAAAAGATACAAAGTTTTTAGTGCAGTATGTGGTGGTCGCTGTGAGTCACAAATGACTCGACGGCACATAATAACAACAACAACAACAACGTGGTAAACTATAAACACTCAATAAATCATAAATATTATATTGTTTTTATTATAGTCTTGCTATAATTAGGTTTAATGTGTACAGTGAATTTTATTATATATGTTATGTTTATTATATTTATTATATCACCTTGGTATTATATGCACTCTATGTTCAGATCTTTAATTATGTAATGTTGCTATGTGACAGGTTCTGCATTTCTTATCAAGGTAGAGACTACAATGGCTTTTCTGCTGTGCTAAATAATGACAAATAGAGTTAAGATTTTTTTATGAGAATAGAAATTGTACTGTTTGAAGGAATCTTATAAGACTTAATTATGTAAGTCTGTCTTTGCTTTGGCAGATCTGTGTAAGAATTGTCATCATGTTGTTGCCAGGCACGAGTATACATTCAGTATCATGGATGAATTTCAGGTAAATGTTACAAACGTGGCAATTCATTATTGTGGTACTAAAAGTAACCTTGAAAACCTATGTGTAGTTTTCAGATATGAAATTAACAAATATTAAAAGAGATCTACCTGTGTAAATTGAGAAAAAAACTAATATATCATAAACTCTGTCTTAGTAAGACTCAAATTAAATAGCCTTTTACAGGTGATATCTGTCTTGTCATTTCTGTTGGTAATGAACAGCACATTGTGACTTCTCGTGAGGTTACTGCCATGCCTCTTTTTTGTGTGTCCCATTAAATGATTGGGAAATCATTAGCATTAATATTTCCCTATTCACTAACAGCATACTGGCTGGATGTAGAAATTGTGATAAGGAGGTTATCATTGTTTTTTCACTGGTGGGCATGTAGAATTGAGCAACTCTGGAATCTCTGTTGAGGTAAAACATCTTAATGTTATTTGTTAATTAAAAATGACAAGATTGATGTATTGAGGTTGGAGCAAGGATCTTCAGATAGAGAATAAGGGATTTATTTAAAGGATTAGTCCTTATGTAATTATGAAACATGTATGAAAAGTTCTATGGAAGGCTGGCATACTTTGAACATTCATAGTCCAGATCTTTGAAGATGCACAGGTGTGTTGATCAGGGAAGAAAGCTAGACAGAAGGAGAAGAGTGAATCTGCACATAGCTTTTATTGCCTCTGTTTTCAAGTGTTAGTTGAGTTTATTGAACCACATGTTCAACTGTACCCACTTCTGTTGAGTCAGTTCCGCCTCCTAGCAATCCTCTAGGATTCCCAGGCTGGGAATCTTTATGAGAAGAGACTCCCCGACTTGATTCCATGGAATGCCTTGTGCATTTGAACTGCTCACCTAAGGGGTTGGCAGCCTTCAACATGGTGGAAATATCAGGCTAGAGCTTTAACAGGCAAGAAGAGTCTATGAGCCCTTCAAACGTGGCTTGAAAATAATCATAATGATAATCATCCTTCACAGAATCTTATAAATGGTATAAACAGTCTTAGTTCTTCATGGAAGGAAGCACCTAGTCACCTGTGGGAAGCTGCTATAAGGTGTGTGATCAGTCTTCTAGATAATGCCTGACCATATGTTCATATGACCATATCTCCTTTTGGAAGCAGGAGTGGCATCCACTTTCTAAACAATATGCCTCTGGAAACTATGAACTTTGATAAATGACGATACTTATAGAGAAGCTTCAGGCCTTTTGTTCATGGGGTCACTATGAGTCATGCTCAACTTGATGGCAATCAACAACAAACAACATATGTCCTTAGCATCCAAAAGGTAGACCTTATTTAAAAAAAACCCTCAAAACAACCAAGCTTAGAACAAAACAAGATCTCAGTGATTTAGTGGTCACCAAAACAGGAGGGAGCAGCTCAGGGCTTTAAAGAGCAACTTTCTCATTTCATGTCAGGGAAGGAGTGCTTATAGCTATTTTCCAGAAGCTCCTAAAGCTCCTGTGAGCTCTTTAGAGTCGCTGACTGGATATTGGAGTGCTTTTTTTATGCCCTAACTGAGCTACAGTAAATTGCTGCCATGAGACCATAACTGAACATAACTATTTTCACGGCTGCCCCAGAAATTACTCTAGGATTGGAGGAGGAAAGTAGAATAACATTCAGTCACTGTCATAACCTAAAACCCCACTGCGGTAGAGCCGATTCGGACTCGTGGTGACCTTCGATTGGGTTTCTGAAGATGTCATTATTTCGAGGAGGAGAATGCCCATCTTTCTTTCACCAGTAGCATCTGGTGGTTTTGAACTGTCATTCTTTAGGTTAGTAGCACGACTCAACACATAGGCCACTAGGGCTATGTAGGCACTTGTTGTAATGTGCCATCAGGTTGCTTGCAACTCATAGTAACCCTGGGTACAACAGCTCTAAATCCTGTTCTGTCCTGTGCCTACTTTATTGTCTCTGACACACGTACCCCCACCACCCCAGTGACTGAATCTATCCATCTCGTCCAGGATCTTCCTCTCTTAAACACTGTCCCTCCACCTTTCCAAGCATTATGGCCCTTTCCAAGGAATAGTCCCTCCTTGTAGCATGTCCAAAGTATGTCAGATGAAGCTTCAGAATCCTTGTCTCCAAGAAGCAGCCTGGTTTCACCATCTCTAGGACAAACCTGTTTGTTTCTCCTAGCAGTCCATGGTATAATCAATACTCTTCTCCAGTACCACAGCTCAAAGACATCAATTCTCCTTCTGTCATTCCTAGTCATTGTCCAGCTTTCTGATGCATAGCAAGTAATTGCAAAGACTATGGCCTGGATTCGGCACGCCTTATTCTCCAGACTGACATCATTGCTCTTTAGTACTCTTGAGAGGTCCCTAAGAGCACACTTTCCCAGTGCAGTTTGTCTTTTAATTTCCTGGCTCTGGTAACAAGAGTGTTAATTGTTGAGCCGAGCAAAGTGTAAAATTTTCTGGACCCTTATGTGTAGTCTTGTCACTTCTAGCATCCCTAAGTTTCTAGACTCTGTCATCAGTTTCTTTTTCTTAAAATATTTCCAGGTTACTCTGTGGCCTTTCCATTTTTTACCTTTGTTGTTGTTAGGTGCTTTTGAGTCAAGTACAACTCCTAGTGACCATGTGAACAGCAGGTCTGAACCCTGCCCTATCCTGTGCCATTCTTACCATCTCTGACACATTTGAGCCAATTGCTACTGACACTGGAAGTCCGTCTCGTTGAGCATCTTCTCTTTTGCTGACCTCCACCTTTCCAAAGATGTCCTTTTCCAAGGAATAGCCTCTCTTCTAGCAACATGCCCAAACTATATATAGAGACGAAGTGATGCCATCCTTGCCTCCAAAGAACATTCTGTCTGCACTTTTTTCAGTGCTTTTTCCAAAACCACAACTCAAAGGCATTGGTTCTTCTGTCATCCTTCTTCCTTGTCCACCACTCAGATGCATGCCAGGTGATTGAAAGACCATGGCCTGAATCACCTTTAGCTACAATATAGTATCCAAGTTCCTCATTCCAAGTTTCTAACTACACTGGCACAGCTTCCCTTTCTCTCTGCTTATCCTTATTGTCTTTAAGTTTGAACTGATTCATAGCTGACTGCGGCACTTTCCAGGGTTGTAAATCTCACAGGAAGAGATTGCTCATCTTTGTCCTTCAGAGCTGCTAGTAGATTTGAACCAGCTGAGATGTACGGTCTTCGGATTAGCAGTGCAATTCCCTATGGCCCTTGCCACTTGAGTTCCCTTTTCTCTCCACCACTTTCCTTAAATGCACCATACTTAGATACTTTATTTCCTCACAAATATAATTTTCATATTATCCCCTCACTTTCTAGTGTTTTAATTTTTCACCAGGAGATTGTTTTCCATTTTACACAAAAAATACAGTTTTCTTTATTTGTTAAGAAGAAACTAATATCATGTCATTTCACTCAGCTACCTTGATTCCTTTTGCTGCTCTATATGAGTCTTTATTTCCTTGGTCTCTCTATGCACCTAGCCTAGTAACCACTCATGGATTGAATTATGTCCCCCAGAAATATATATCAACTTGGCTAGGCTGTAATTCTCTGTGACGTATTTATCCTCTGTGAGTTCTGGTGGCATAGTCTGTAGAGAGTTTCCCTGTTAACCAAAAGATGACACCTCTCTGGCGATTTAGTCCTCCCTGTGATTTACAGCCTTGGAGACCCAGGAGAGGATCAGCTGTGGATCTTTTCTGACTCAGTGATGTTGAGAGAAGACATGCATTCTGAGTCTCAGCTGAAACGTGGTAGATATTTTTCACCTCTCCTCCTCTAACTCTGACACCTTGTCTGTCTTCGTTTCTTCCTTGTTATCTATTTCTTGCTGATTTTTAGTTCCTTAGCCACAACTCATGTATAGACCCGTACCCACTCAAGTCTTCATTGCGGCAGCAGTTCCTAAGTTGTTGTTGCTACACTACCATTGAGTTAATTTTTCTACAGTGTTGTGAGCCAAGTGCACCTTCATTTCCCTTTTACTCCAGATACCATACGCTCACTTTTTGCCACTTCGTACTTTCTCCTTGTCTTGACTTTCTAAACCTTCACACAAACTAAATGATCACCTCTTTCAAGCTGTACTTAAGTTCCATCTGCTCATTGTTTGCTGATTTTGATAGTCCAGCCATGTTGCTTTTTCCCTTTTCTCAACTCTTTTAACCATTTCAAGTCCTAGCTTATTGCAACCTGGAGCTACCACCTCAACCTGATGAACATGGAACTCTTCTCTCTGTCACCATGCCTGACTTCCCTCATTTCTGCTTTTCTCCAGTCCCTCTCTATCCTGGTAGTAGTTCTAATTTTGGGGGGTGGGGGGATAATTCAAGCTTTTTTTTTAAATATCCAAATAAAATTACGGCAACATTTATTAGAATTTGTGCTATAAGACATGTTGCATAAGAAACTATTTAAAGCCCCTGAGGAAAAAATATTCATGATTTAAGGTGCAACTGGTTTTGTTTCTTCCTTGGGGAGAAGGTGAGAGATGATTTCTGGTGAGGAAAAGGGCATAGGAGAAGCAGAATTTAAGGTTATTTCAGGTGATGATTGTAGAATCCTTCTATTCCAGCTTTGTGGCATAAAATATCTGGGTGATTTTGTTTTGTTTTGTTTTTGGTCAGCCTGTTTGTCTTTAGTTATTAAATCAGTAGATAAGAAGCAATGCTTCAGCCCAGTAAGAGATTGTATACTGCTTTTGCTCAATCATAGAAACAAAATGATTAGCATGTTTTAAGAAAGCACATTTGGAGAACTAGACTCTCTACTGGAGGGGTCTCCGGTAGCCCAATGCCATGGCAGACAAACACAGCCAAGTCCTTGCAGGTTCCTGGGAATCATCTCACACTATAAAATTGCTGTATATTTCACCCGTGTAGCTTGTGGCTCCCATCTGCAACACTGAGTAAGTCTGCTCCCACATACATCCCCCCTACAGGGGGTAGTTAGGAAAGCAACATTTATGCTGAGTCCCTGATTTTATGTGGGGGAAATTTTGATTTAAGAAAATGTTCATCCTGCTCAGATAATCTTATTTGTGCATAAAATGGCTTTTCTGTATGCTACTTACTTTAAAAAAAAAAAAGTACCAAAGTGTATCAACTACTGCCATAACCTGGCTTCATTAATTATGAATTCATGACCAGTCTTGTTTGTTTATGCCTAACCATTCCCACAGGATTCTTTTGAAGCAAACTCCAAATATATCACTACCTTTATAAATATTTCAGGATTATATAAGTATTCTGTTTTTAAAACTGCCATAGTGCCAGTTTCAAACAAGATACGATTTTCTAATGGGAAGACAAAAGAATAGATGCAGTACAGAGTTTAAGTGGAAAACACATAATAAATAACTAGAGGTAGCCCTGAAAAAAGGACTATGAGACTCAGCTATGTTCCTTTAAGAGACAGGGAAGGAGAGTCCTTCCAGTGGAATCGGCAGATAGTGCTAGAGGACAGCTAGGGCCCTCAGAAGAAAATCAAGTACCTAGTGTTCTCCAAAGGGGAATTCACTCATTCTACCTTAGGAGTTCTTCATTTGAAATTTCCCTGTAAATCTCCATCCTCTGTCCTTGGCCAGCTAGAACCTTGAGGGTCTCCATGAGTGATAGGTGTGGTGGTGAAATCCTTTTAATTATTCCTATTTGGCAAGTTTTGGAGAAGGGTATTTTGATTTCACCATGTTACTAGCAGCATAGGGAGATCTGTTCTTGGGATCTCAAGTTAGAATTATAGGCATATTTTCGTACAGAAACTACTATACATGATCAGATTCAATAGTACTTGCATGTTAGGAATTTAAAGGACTTGGGGATTTGTCTGGAAACCTGACTGCTATGCATAATTGCTAATTTTGAATTTTAATTAATTGACTTAAAATGAATTTGAATTTTAACCCGTCTATAAATGAAAGCTTTCAGGTGTAATTGGCTTCACTGAATTAATATTTTTCCTGATTATATCATGTTAGGGATTTCATTGTTTTCCCCCCAAATTAGATTGTAAATTTCATAAAGAGACCTATCTGACATCTGTGACTGCACCTCCACATTGCAGAGAGCACGCAGGTTCTCAGTAGAAGTTTGTCACTTGATAGATTGGTTCAAATCAGCTGTTTCTTTCTAGCTTTACACATTTTCCTTCCTGACTCCTTTACATTTTCTTCATTTTTATCCTATTAGTTAATATCTGATGAGTGGAGACAGTAGACATACTTAAAAGCAGTAAAAGATCTTAGAAAGGCGGTTTTTATTTCTTTTTAATCCATAAGGCTTAAATTTGTTCTCTGAGCTTTACCCTGTATAGAATAGACTTGAAAATTAAGTATGCCCTTTAAGAAGCAGTCTTTTCACTGTCTTGCCTAAGCTCCTCTGATGCATTCACTAGTGGAAATGGAAAGTTTCCTGGCCCTGAGTCTTTGTACTGTTGTCATTGTTTACCACTGTGGCATCTCCAGTGACTTTGAGACCAAAGAAACACCTTCACTGTTGAATTTCCAGACACCAATGTAAATATCAGGTATTGACTGGTAGACTATTAGAATTCACATAGATTTTTGTTTTCCTAAAGAAGATAACCCATGTTTGTTTTTGTTATGTGCTGTCGAGTCAGAACTGACTTACAACTGACCCTCCAGTGGGTTTTGCAAAGCAGTAAATGACATGGGGGAGGTTTGCCCCTCCTCCCATGGAGCAGCTGGTGGATTCAAACTGCCTGCCTTTGCCGTTACAGCACAGCTTCTGACCACTCGGTTTTAAGAACTCAACCCACTTTTAAACCAATGGTATGTCCCCATAGTTATAGTTTATGATTGCATTCGATATAGAAAGACAGGACCTTGCTCTAAGGATTTGGACCTAAATGAGAATTCCTTCTATCACTAGTCTATAGATGTTTGTGAAATCCAAGAAATACAATATTCCTTAAATGGATCAAATTGCAAACAACCAGCTGTTTACAAATCTAAATGGAGGTATGACATACTGGATTTCACAGAATTGTTTGTTTCCCACAGTGGACAAGAATAGCTTTTTGGGCTTGGAAATTTCCCTACCCATTTGTTTTTTAAATAATTTCTCTTGTATGTTAGAATTAAATATCCTAAAAAGTAATAGCTTTAAGATCAGGAATTTGTCCTTAGGGACCAACATTCAAATTCCTTCCTTACTCCAAATAGCAGCTGTAAGCCCATTACATATGTTTTTTAAGTCCAAAATATAGCTGTGTATTTCAGAGGTGGCATTCATATATTCCTGGTAAATAGAGCATTAGATATATATTCAATTTATAGAAACAAAAGTCTCTGTGAAATGGAATAAACCTAAAACATTATGATTAATGTTAAAGAAATTGATCTATGTACAGAAAAAATGTTCATGGCTATTTTCAGAAAGCCAGTTTTTCAAAATGAACAAGCTATAAATCACTGCTCTACCTCTTCCTCAAGGTAATTGCTCACTTTATCTCGTTCTAGGAGTATACCATGCTGTGTCTGTTATGTGGCAAAGCCGAAGATTCTATCAGTATTCTCCCTGATGACCCCCGGCAGATGACTCTCTTGTTCTAAGGATCTTCTGCAGTGATCATGTAGACTTGGTTTTCAATACAGTGTATCTGATGGTTAGTCTGACTTACTTTGTGGTGAAAATTTTTTGCCTGTTGTTTTCAGCTTAGATTTATCTGTTCTTTGGGGGGGTCAGAGGGAAGGAATTTAGGGAGTTACTCTTTTCCAGAACTGACTTCTTCTCCTAAAACCAGAGTGAAGTGTCATTATTAGTAATGACAGAGCTAGAAAATAACTAGTATGGGAACATATGTCATGTCTAGTTTCTAGGATGGAATAGGAAAGATGTAAGATGAGCTGAAACACAGAGTAAGGAAATGCTCAGAAAAAAGTCACAATGATTGGAGATTGGACTTATGTCAGGGCTAGAAGATCAACTGAAAGGTCCCAAGGGCCAAGATGGAATAATGTGTGCAATAAAGTAGTATTGAATTATAACCCAAAATATAAAGATCATGCTGAAAATAAAAAAAAAAAAAATGATAGAATAAATAACTGGAGAGAAGAAGAGCCATCTCCTGGACAGAAAACAAGCAGACTTGCATAGATACTCCTTGGAGGCGTGAATGGTGAGACATGCTTTAGACATGTTTTCAGGAAGGGCCAGTCCCTGGGAAAGGATATCATAATTGGAAAAATAGAGGGTCAGCAAGAGAGATGAATTGATTGTGATAATGGCTCTAACAGTGGGCTTAAGCGTAGTGGAGATTGTGAAGCTAATCAGGATTGGGCAAGATCTTGTTCTGTTGGATATGGGTCCTTCTGAGTTGGGGCAGACCTGATAGCACCAACAACAGTACACTCAACATCAGCACATAGAAAATTGGAACTTAACTCCCAACCTGTAAATATGGACTGCACCTGTTGACTCCTTCCTAAGAAGATGGTATGGGAAAGGGAGGAGGAAAATAACTTCATGATGGAGACCTAATAGAGACCAGATAACCCTAGCTCAGCCACGTGATCCAGGTTAATTGCACCAATCACAAGTCATATTGATAGTATGTATCCTTCATATGATGTAATGAAAATGGCACTTGACCTCAGTGGTTTTCCAAAACCCATGAAAAAACTTGGACTCGTTGGCATTGAATCAGAAATTACTTGTGGTTGACTCTCCATTGAATTTCTCCTGGGGGAGAATTGCCCCTCTTTCACTTGAGGAGCCACTGATGGCTTTGAACTGCCAGAAAGGCACGACCTTTGAGTTACCAGCCCAACTCCCTACCGACTAGACCACCAGAGCTTCCTCCAGAAGCTCATAATCAAGAGGGACAATGTCAAACAAACCCTGTCCAAGGGACAACCTACAAAATAGCGAACCAGCACTCTTCAAAACTGTAAAAGTATCAGAAACAAAGGCTAAGAAACCCACAACCAAGAGGATGCTAAGGAGACATGACAACTAAATAGCACATGGTATTCTGAATGATCCTGGACCAAAAAAGAAAAAATGACATGGAGTTTTAAAAAGCAAAACAAAAACTCAATCCAGGTATAGTGTAGCTTTTCATTAAAATTAATTAATTAATGACATTCATTATCTCAGTTACTCTAGACGGATTTAAGGATACCTGCCTTTGCAGAGTTGAAAGACTGACTTAAGAGCCATGAACTCACTATTTGGGCCACTCTGCTATTTGGTAGTATAATCGTTATAACAACAACAAAATTACATGATTCTGGACTTCTTTGTTACATTTTTATAGGGTTATAAAAATTGATAAATTTGAAAAATTAATTGCTAATAATTGGTGTTATACTTATTTTTGTAGCATTATTAGGAGATCCAAATAAATATAAATCGCTTTGAAAAGTATGTACAGTAGTAGACACATGCTTCACATAGTTCCCTTTCCACGGTCAAACCATAAAGAATCTCAAAACATGCTTACTTCGTTTTGAGACTTCATACAAAACAATAGATTTTTCCAGGTTAAAGCAAGAAAAATATTAACTAGGTGCCCATTATTCATACTAGGGGGAGACTGTTATGTAATAATTACTACTGAACATAACTGACCCTCGAGTAGGTTTTCAGAGGCAGTAAATCCCACAGTAGAGTATTTTTCCTGTCTTTCTCACTTGGAGCATCTGATAGATTTGAGCTACATGCCTTTAGGTTGGCAGGGCTACTCCTTACCACTAAGCCACCAGAGCTCCCTTGTGATAATAGCTGAGGTTTGAGGACTCTCTTGTACCTAGGTATTTTTTTTTCTTGTACCTAGGTATTTTTAAAGCATTTTGCTCATTTAATCTTCCTTGACAACTCCACGAGACATTGCTGTTGTCACCCTATCTCAGAGCCTTAAGAAACTAAGACAGGAAGTTCTGGACAGTGCTCAAGGTCTTAGAGCTAGTACAGTGACTCCCTCTTAATTGTTCAGTAAACATGAGGCGTAAGGCTCTGCAAGGTGAAGAAGAGGTTGGAGACACCAGTGACAGCATTTTGAGGAATCTAGGTATGTCAAAACAAGATTTACTCAGAAACATTAAATCAGCTGCTCCTTCGGGATCAGTTGTTTTATTCCTGGAAAAATTTTTCCACTTTGTTGCAAATCTATATCTGACCTGCTGAGGAAATCATTTGGTGAAATGAATCCAGAAAGCAGAGAAAATGCTTCATTACTTTAAATAGCAGTACTAAGCCCATTATAGCCTCTCAATTGTCCCTTCTTAGAATTTGCTAATGCTGCCAACTTAGTCATTTGGAGCTTGAGCGTACGATTTTATATGCCTGTACTGATATTCTCATTTATTTCAGAATATACAGTGACTATCCATTTGTTTTGGATCATATATTAGAAAAATTTTAAACATAAACTGCTGTCCTCATATTTCATTACTGTGAAACCAACACTCTTCTCTATGTTGTGACATTTTATCATCTAATACAAAAAAGATTCTCTGAACCCAGTTCTACTTAATCTTTCTTATATAAATAAAAAACAAGTAAGCATTTGTCTTTCTTACTTTTTTCCCTGAGAGATAAAGGGGGGGGAAACACCTCAAAAATGGTGTGATTGAATCCAAAAACTTCTCCAACAGGGTAAAAAGGGAAGCCACAGACTGGAAAAAAGTCTTTGGTAATGACATGTCAGATAAGGGACTTATATCTAGAATTT